ACCCCCCCCCCCCACCGAGTTGGGACGGTAGCCCCTCCCCGGGAGGAAATAGGTCGCCGATAATGTCGCGGACGGGGGTCCAGATTCGTTTGACATGGCGATCTCGACAACATGTTGCAATATTGGTACATACATTGAAAAAAGGATTTGATAATAAATAAGTACGAAAATTTGGTGAATATTTGCCGACCAAGTATTGAATTACTGCAACCGAATAATTTAGTTCTGTACACTAAATATATAATATACGAAAGTATCGTATGTACAGTATGTGAAACTAAATTATTTGGTTGCAGTAATCAAATATTTCGCTAATTTGGAAAATATTCACCAATTTTTAATATTTATTATCAAGTCCTTTTTTTAATGTAGAAAGCCTCGAGTATATCAAGCAATGATTGACAACGGCGATGATTGGACGACTTATTAACACATTGCGTACGGCACTCTACTCGCTCAATAGAAATATCGCATATCAAATATCGCTCGTGGAAATATCGCATATCAAATGGTCGTATGAAAATATCGAATCGAAGCAACCCTGATTCAAATACGTTCAAATGCGCACCGATACGGGCGCGCCAAATGATTGGAATTCGCACAAGGCGTTCGCACTCAGCCGGTAAATTAGATTCGCGAAGAAAGGAAGCTAAGCGAGGGCGTGCGAGCGAACATTTCGTAACATGGATAATATGTAAATTGTCGTAGTTATCGGTTATCGAAACGAAAATACACATCGATGCGGATCACGACGAGTGTTTCCTGAGAATTTCAACCTATCGTGGGAAGTGAGTCATTTCTTATGATACGGTGAGCGAGAGAGGAATACTCGACGGTGTTCTGCACTCGTAATTAATTTGATTTTAATGCAGGGACGTGTCGAAGATGTAAATATGACAATTACAAGTATATGATTGAATCGTATCCTTCGAGCGATCATACACTTAACCTAACCTGTATTACCTGCAATATTAACGCATTCGCTACTAATATCGATTCATTTGAGGAACCTTCCGTATGACTGTACTTTTTAATTTAATTTTGTCAAACGAACTTGGTTGACTTATATATTCGTAGAAAGTAAAGCTGTCACATAAGTATGACATTGTTCTTTCTTGCGCGAGGTTGATGTCACATATAATGTTTGTAGCAAATCTATCAACTTTGCTTGCAACGTAATGAAAGGCCGCTTCTTAATTTTAGATCATGACAGCTATAAAGGTACATGGTGGAACCTCGAGGCTGCTGGTAAATGAAGAAGTGCATATTTGCCTACCTTGGCGTATCAAATATACGCAATCTCACATACTGCATTCCAAATGCTCCAAGAGTGAAAATGGCTGCAGTAGCAGCAAGGACAATGAGGCCTGTCAGTTTTGCGTGTATGTGTAATAACACGAACGTATTGAGAAATATACTTGTCTATTAGTAGAGGAATTAAGGGCTAATTTCTCTATCACTATCTTATGTATTACTTATCTTCTATTGATGATTGATCGATATGTCTATCTGGCAATATTGAATCTCATAAAGATCATTGACGAGTGAATAATGAAATTTCAGTTATACACTTATTCATCATTCTTGCACTTGATGTTAAAGATGATCCAAATTTGTGACGAAAATGTTCACGATACATGTATTTCTGATTGCTACATCAAACTGTTTGCACTTCCATTAGTGAGGTCAGCTCTTATATGTCCTTAATTTGTTTATTGATTGAATATCTTGAGAGCCATATTATTTGTATTTATATTTATCTTTCAGATATAATAATACCTTAGAGCTGCCGCATATGCCTGACATGGTGTTCCCCAATAACGTATTGATACTGACTCATTAGAATGGAGCATTGCTGCAATTCAATGCTCTGGATGCTCTGAGGCATGTGTCCAATGGGATAATCAACATACAACTGGCATGGAAAGAGGCATGGAAAGTATCTAGGTATAACTTAGCGCCGTGTTCCTTTCAATCTTGCCAGCTGTTCTAATTCTAATATTATATTTCTCACTCAAATACATTGGCAGACCAGACAGCAGTGAATATTTGGAAGAAAGGGTGAAACCCTTCGATTGGACGTTCACTACTGACTACACTGGTACAGTATCCGGCTTTGAGGTTGAAGAGACCGACGAGAGGATCGATATGGATAAACTGAGACAGAGAGACAAGATCCTGTTCTATAATGATTTAACATTGTTCGAAGACGAACTTCACGACAACGGTATTGCGGTAAATTCAGTGAAAATTGTAAGTTACTTCGTACCATACATTTTTCGACAACGTGTGCATACAACGAAATCCTCTCGATTCTTCTCCTGCGCAGAGAGTCATGCCCGGTAGCTTCTTCATACTATTACGATACTTCTTGAGAATCGACAATGTAATGCTGAGGATAAACGATACTCGCTTTTAGCACGAACTCGGCAAGAATTACTTGTTACGCGAGTTCACGTCACGAGAAGCCGAGGTTCAAGATATCCGAGTAAGTAATACAGTAGCGCTATGGATGACCTTGTTACAATCTTGTCTCAAACATTTGGGTTTTTAACATTTTCGTTGTTGGCGTCACACACGTGTGTGACGTATCGATCTTTCACGGGAGGCAATTCTTTATTTCATACTCACACAAACGCATCAGACTATACATAACAAATGAAAACTTAAAATATTATTCCGCAAGGCCTCCCCGGCGCTCTTCTCGGAGCCGAGCGAAATAGCGCCCCACTTGCCACTAATTAGAAGCCATTATCACAAGTTGATAATACCTGAAAAAGAAGAAGCTAAATTAAACGAAGACGCGAGCAACTCTCAAGACACGTCCGCGGAGTCGCGGGATACATCTGCGACTGAAGGGAAACCAGAGCAACCCGGTGAAAACACGACGGACTGCTCCATCATCTAAGACTTATTCCACTGAAACTCGCGTGTGATATGTGATATCGTGTTTGCTCGCGAAGAAACACTGATGAGGAACTCGCTCTGTAGAGATCATTGATTCTCGATACCTTGGATGTGACAAAAAACACTCGAAGGATCTATATTTATGCGCCGAAAGTGAGACGTCGCTTTTATCTCGGGTCGATTGATATCAAAGTCCCAATCGAGACCGAAATCTCGGTCTTAACTCACGCTTGTCATTTGATTATTCACGTCTTTCCTTCACGCGTTTTAATTTTGTATGAAGACCTACCTAAAGATAAATCGTCATCCGTCGGTGTCCGCCGCAAACTCTGCGATATCAATCTTTATTCTTTTTATTTTGGCGCATTCAAATTTCCAGGCATTCGTAAAGTATATTCTATCGCAGGTCGAGAGAGAGATGTTATTAACAAAAGAATAACTCATAATAAAGTAACAAAATGTACTTCCTACGCCTTCAAAAGTCGTCTAGCTTATTTAGGCGGACTTATCGTTATTAATTATCATCGTACGAGCTCGATCGATGTGTGATAACCACGTTCGTCTTTCGATATAAAACTTGTACGATATCCTCGCTCAACATTGTGCAAAAATGCTATTCACTTGAGGTGCCTTATCGTGCCAAGTGTCGCTTCGTTATTTATTCGCGACGCAGACGCAGGTTGGAGTTTGCGCTTTCATAGTGGAGGTCACCGATCACTTCTTAATTCAGCATTATTTCAAACGTCATTCATCCGGAGAATCTTGCCTACGGAGGTTCAGGTGCATCTCGTGCAGGTGTTGAAGGGAGAGACGACGTGTTACCTGAGAACTTCGCTTCTCGTCAACTCAAGCTCGCCGGCAACGAAATGAACACCAGCTGCGACGAGAGAGTGCATTATCGGCCGGCGGCTTCTCCATCACGAATGTGCAGAAGCAGGATGAGGGTTAGCTCACGTCATAAAACGACAAAGAAGAGAGGATGGTGATTATGATCAGAGTGTTAGGTTTCCTCTCGGAGGAACCGCGCTTCGGAAAAAGGAAAATTGTTTCGCGAATATTTTCCCCGTTAAAGCGACTTCATCGAGAGACGACGTAATGTAATGATGCGTCGCAAATTCTGTGTTTCAGATACATTTGTCGGAAGCCCGGAAGAAGCGGATATAATTAATGGGGTAACATACAGGTTCAACGATGTCCATGAGTCCATTGCATAGTACGTATATATCTGCACGTATGTAAGATGATTCAGAACACAACCGCTTGTCTTTCAAAAGACACATTTCCGGCTGGATTCTGAGACGACTTTGCCAAAATCTCGTTCAGAGCTTTCGGATTGCAAAGAGAAATAATTCTGCGAATATTTGCGCATTCACGTTGCTTCTTTCTTCTCACAAACTTTCTCTTGTACACCGACTCGAGTGAAAATTCGTCGGAACAGAATCCTCACGACAGCTTCCGCCATACCATCGAGAACAACGAGTACAATGTGGAGATACCGAAGGTCTCGGACCACGGGAATTGGAGCGCCATAGTCGGCATGTCTGGTCGATGAAGTCGTGAAGACGATGGACCGTTTTCCGTGAGTTGTCGCTCGCTACTTAGTCCTGGTCTACAACAGGCGCGTTAAGCCTTACCGTTATCGGCGACTTATCTCTTTCAGATGAACACGTGGGGATACACCGTCTCTTCCGAACATCTGTACTGCAACTACATAGCAATAAATAATGACTTGAGCTTGTGCACATTCATGCAATCCTCGGTCGAAACGTATATATAGGCTCGGATCATTCGCTGTGAGTAGAGGGGTTAGGCCGGTTCTGGCGCAGTTGGATCTGTTTTACCGACCGAGTAGCAAATCCAGTTGGCGCAGTTGGATCTGTTTTACCGGCCGAGTAGCAAAAACCAGTTGGCGTAGTTGGCGCAGTTGGCGCTGTTTTTATTTTTTTACCGGCCGAATAGGGCCCCCTTCAGCGGTCGGTAGGCGCTGTTTTTTACCGGCCGAATAGGGCCCCCTTCAGCGGTCGGTACCCCCTCCTCCGACAGTCGGTGTACCATCGCGCACCCCCTCCTCCG